TCAATCAAGTGGAAGCTAATTGGCTGTTAAAAGTCACTTCTCTCTCTCTCTTTCTCTTTCTCTCTGCCTCTTTGTCTCTCTCTTTCTGTCTCTCAGTGGAGTACAGTATATTTGGACATCCAGAGGCAGCGCAATGTCATTTCATGCCCTCGAATGGCTGTGCACCTCTAATAGACTATGAGGCCATTTTACAATGTCCAGGAGCAGCTTGTGTGAGAGAGCCATTTGTATGCATAGCATGTCTTGTGTTATTTCATTCCTGGCTCGAATAAAGGCTGTGTTTGTTTAGTTATTGTAACTAAAACATGCTACTGTAGTTCTACATTTACGCAGAGAGTTATAGTTGCCAGCTCAGATCCAGTCCTATCAGCCCAAGGTATAAGGCAGGGCAGCGGTTCCTGGGAAGTATGCAGGGTGCTTGGGGGCTAGTGAAACAGTATGACAACAATGTGTGCACAATGAGCAACATGGTCGACGTCAAAACTGGACTATGTGCAATTATGTAATTACTGACAGGCACATGAGGACTGCTAAACATAATCAAAAATATGTTATTACATCTACTTAGCAAGTGACAAAAGAGTCTTCCACATGGTGCAGAGTAATTATGCTCATATTGCGCCTGCACTTAGTGCTCATCATTTCACCGGTTAGCAATTTCCCTTGCAAATAACTGTGCAAAACATTCAAGTTTAGATGTGTCGATATTCATTATCACAGCTGGATAATCGGATCAGAGGTCACATTGTGAAGGTCTCACTGTCACTCAGCAGGCAGTCACAGCTGAGCAGCAGAGACAAGCTGCCTTTTACAGTGACAGTCTACAGAAATCAACATAGACAAAAGCTCTTACCCAAGTGATCCTACCATCACTTGTCTCTACAAAGAAAAAGCCCCACAGAACCAGAGACAAAGTCAACTCCGTCTCTGGTGTATTCATTTAAAATGTTTTTACACAAGGAATTTAATCATGTTTTATTGTTTTTATTAGTCTCTGTAGGAAGCTGTATATTATAAGTTCTTTCTCTGAGTCTTCCCTCGCTGTTGTTCTTGTTAAAGGCCTCAGGAGCAGGAATCATCTTTACACTGTTTTACCTCACCAAGCACCCTATTGTCTCTTTACGTGGCCACAAAGTCATAAAGATCCTTGTGGCCCACATTGGTGCCTTGCTAGCACTTGTGTTTCCAGTCGCTATGGTCTTTGAATGAGGATGAAGAGAGTTTTGCCATGCTGGAGTTTAGACCCTAGTCTGAGGCCAACAAACCTCACAAAACCTGAACATACAGTATCATGTAAATGCAGTGTTGCAAGATTTAGTTCTGTAACACGCCCACTTAGAATTTACTGAGACTAACAAAGTATTTTGGAAAAAAAAAGGAATGGTCAGGTAAAGAATTTGACACTTCAAAATAATATTAAACTATTTAAACTAGGTGTTGTAAACATAGACATATTTCTAATATTTTCATAAAGGGTTTTCCTGATTGAAAGTGAAAAGCAAACCCAAATGACCAATGAATGATGCATTTGACCATTTAGAGATTATCCGCCTGTTTAAAAAAAAACAAAAAAAACACTATATGTTGTTTGTACCAGCAGGTTATTACAACCAACAGTTTTGTATTATACAGGGTTAGTGAAATGTTACTAGGCATTAAAAATTGGCTATAGAACTTGTAGTATCACTGGAGTCATGATGAAAACAGTCTCTAAATAGATAGATAAATTTCATAAGAAATATTATGTCATGTCGTATGAATTTGACTGATATTTGAATGATTGAATTTGATTCATTGATTCATCATCAATCATTGAATTTGATTCATATGAATGATTTCATATGAAATCAAATAGGATTTCATATTAAATTCTATTTACTATCATCTGTTCAGAGCAACCTGGAGGAGATGTTCCTGTATGAGAGGGAAGGGGCCGACAACCGTATGAGTTGAAGGACTACAGCATACCTGAAGTGACAATTGTTTTTATGGCATTTGTCCAACCAAAAATCAATGGCTGTCTTCAGGAGGCTACACAAGAACAGGCAGGAAGAAAAAGAAAGTGGAGATCCACTCACCCAACTCCAAGATTATGTTGTGCCAGCATCTATCCTGCATAATTACACAGGGCCACAAATAGAAAGGCTGTCTTCACTCCTATCCACCCTCTCCTTTTCTTCATCCTGTGCCACTCAGCAGCAGTTTGTGAGGTTATGCAGAGCACAAGGGGCGGGGTGGGGGTATTTAGATGTGTGAAAAGGCAATTTGTTAGAAACCTAAGGGAGCACTGGAGTGATGACAAGAGAATTACTGTAGAAGGGCTAAAGGGTTGAATGGCTAAATCTGTGCTAGCGGAAGAGGAATGAGGAGGAAAGGCTCAGTATATTTGTCTGTGTGTCTTAGAAACCATTATTTTCTCAGATGAGCAAGTAGAAAATAATTGAAGAATGGATGGCTGAATTCTACAGCTCAGATGCACCACACCACACAAACATACATGCACCTCAGTAGATGTGATGTGACGGTGACTGTTGTGTAACCAAGCTCAGTGAGTCATGAGAGGGAGGAATGCGTTGTAGTGATGGTTGGAGGAGGAAGCTGGCCTGGGGAAGGGCTGCGGGAGACAGTCAGATCCGTTAGCAAAGTCATCTGGGGGAGAGAGAAAGAGGCTGGGCATGTGGTTTCAGGCCTTGCCTCAACTGTCAGTGATTGTCTGGACCCCACCACCACAAGTGAGGTGTGGTGCTGCACACACAACCAAATACAAACATATGCATGTGTGGAGACACACATACAACTTTAAATTGAAGTGGGTTTTCAGGGACTGAAATAAACTAACCATCCTTCATACACATAAAAGCAGGAATCATGCTTGACCACCCCAAAACATGTTATTTTGCTATAAACTGTACCTCATAAAATCACACTGTGTGCTGGTTCAAAACGTTTTGTGCCTGTGTGTGTGTGTGTGTGTGTGTGTGTGTGTGTGTGTGTGTGTGTGTGTGCATGTTGCGTGACTGTTTATACTGACTTCTCCTTGCCCCAGGAGCTATTTGTTTTCAGAGGTGCGTAGGCAGTTCTGTTTGTATGCATTTGTGTGCATGTGTGATACTCATCTAATATATGCAAGCTGAGCACACGCGCTCCTCACGCTGTCGTACATGGCTGGACTCAGGCTGTGCCTCCGTGGCAACGTTATCATACAAAGAGGCAAACAGCCAGCCCCTGATTTAATAAGCTGCCTAGGGAGTCACAGAGAGGTGGGGAAGCACTATCAGCTGATAACTGTCCTCCCTGCAAGACCAGCTTTCCCTCTCATAGGGCTGCCAAGAGAAGACTCAGCTTCTCCTCTTTCTCTGTGTGTGTGTGTGTGTGTGTGTGTGTGTGAACGATCCCCCAGTGGCTGCTACCCATGAGTCTGTAGGCTTCGTCCGTTCTGTGCTGCCTTTCTCTGGGTGTCAGACAAACAGCAGAGGAAAGCCCACACAAGGCACAGACAGGCCTGACATCAGTGCTGAGGAGCATATGCTCAGAGCTTCAATCTTTCAGCTCCCTCACATACACACACATGCACACCATGTTGTGGCTCTCTCCCCTGCCATGAGCCAGGCTATAGACAGACTCCTATCAGTCTGTGCTGCACTTCATATAGACCAGCAGTAATATCATCATACCACCACCCTGAAACCAGGGCAAAGAAAAAAATAGTACTAGCATGCTGCAACAAAGAAAAATGGTGAAACTAGAATTACTGCCTCACCAGCCAGTCAAGTTCACGTGCATGTCTGTTCAAACTCACACAAGTTGCCCTTCGGTCATGATTAGTATAGGAATTCTTGAGTTTTGTGTTTTGTGATGCCATAGTGAGCTTTGACCTACACATTTTAATCAGTCCATCCTTTGCTGAGGGATAAAAACACCACAACATTTTTCAGAACAGTTGTTGCACTTCATTTTGACAGTGTCTGTTATTTTGTTGATGCTGATTGCTTTGCAGCCATGGTTGATAAGTGTCTAGGTGAACTTTAAGTGGAATAGCGCTCTAGTTCATCCAGACAATACAGTCTTTCATGGGAATTATGGTCAGAGACAAAACAAGGAGAAGTGTGTCCTTTTTGTAACAAGGCAAAATCAGAGCATGATGGTGAATGGGTGCATAATGTGCTTGGTTTTCATGCCTGAAACTGGAATGTACATATTTTTGGTTAATTAAGCTAATAACGTACGGAAGAAACATTGGGACTTCTTTCAGTGTCAAGTGCTCTTTTTTGGCCAATCTTTTCACTTTCTAAGGTGTCCTGTATTATTGTAAAGTCAGTGATTGCTTTTGTCTGTAGTGCGTTATCACACTTGAACACAGCCGCCTAACAGCATAGGCATACATTGGGGTGGCCATGGTGACCAGCAGCTGACACCGATGATTGATCCTGGTACTGGGATAAGCACCTGCACACCACAGTGCCAGCCACTGAAAGGCAGCCAGCCGGAAAATTAGAAATCTCTTCATCCCTGGTCCATTTGAAATCCGATATCTACCATCTTCCCCTCACACAGGCACCTTTCCTCAGCCAATAAATTAGTAATTAAATGATGTGTGTGTGTATGTATGTACATGTGGGCAGGTGCATGTCCTTGAATCAGCTCAGGCAGTTGGGGTGATAGGGGTATTAAAGTCTCTAGTAAAATGACCCATCACCCTCAAATATGTACACCTTGTCTGCATAAAAACAGAACACTTACACACTCTGCATTGTCTCAGATACAAGTACATACTCACTCCCAGGCACATATTTGAGTTGTACAATGTGTGTTGGGTGTCAGCTGGAGGTGTAATGGTGCCTTGTGTATCAAATAAATCAAAGTCAGGCTTCCTCTAGGCGCTGCACCTGACCTCTTGGAAGCCATCAGCGCAGTTCCACCCTCATTACCACATTGGAACAGAAATGCCCTTCATGTTTAATGTTTCCCTCTGCTCCTCAATTTCTATCTGTGTCGTCCAGGTACATCGACCCAGAGAAGCCCCCTACTGGCTTCCCTCCCTGTCCCAGGACGGCCTCTGCAGCCTCAGCTTGAGCTCAAACACCTAATGCCCTTCAGACTGAATGGATCCTCACCCCTCAGTCTCTTTCCTAACTTTAATACGGTGAGTCTGATGGTTTTGATATCATGCAAAATAGTAATTTACATGAATGAAGGTGGAACTAATTAATCTGTGGCTTTATCAACAAGCAATTTCAGCAACAATAAAAGTTTCCAGCAAACACATAAAATGGCCTGGATCTTATCGGATCCAACAGAATTATTATGCGAAGAGGTGACTCATCTCACTGCAAAAAAATATTGTGATTATGTTGTTTTGTAACATGGTTTTTTTTAGCTAAAAAAAATATCTTTTAACATTTAGTCTGGTTTCATCTTGCACCTTCTATGAAAATGTGTTAGGCAAAATATGAGGCAGGATGAATGAAAGCAAAGACTCAGAGCACCTGGCTAAATAATAGTCAGTGATTTTGATTAGAAAACATGTCAACCACCAACAGATTTTAGGATTTTTTTTGTTCTCTGGGACAGTAATAGCCTTAATTTTAAGGGTCATCAACAGCTTTCATAAATTTGGTGTCATTGTGCTCATGCTCATTGATTGAGCTGTACAAAGGAAGACAGATCTATAAAATGGTGTCATAACGATGTCATACTTTGCCTCATTGCCTGGAATAAAAACCGCGTATTGTTGATCCTTGACCATCACTATACCCCTTGTCATTTTATGTGTGCATCTGAGGCACTTCTGATTTCTTTGATCTTGTGTGTGTGTTCACTTCTATTGTTGCCCTTTGTTAGACCGTGTCTAAAGGAAACATAAGCCAGAGCTTTCACTTCAGCACACGCCTTTTCAAACTAGGTGAAACAAAAGTTGGATGGTAGAGAGAAAGACAGAGAGAGAGAGACATCTGGCTGCCTGGTTCTGATGGTGAAGCACCTGTGTGAGGGGGTGGATGAGACATAAACATGTGCTGTATATGTGTACGTAGGGGGTCTCCAACCTGCTATGTGAAAAGTGCAGTTTCTGCCACCCACTGCTTTGGGTCATGGGGTTGCCTATACTGCCCTGTGGAGGATTGAGCATTGACGCAACGGCAACATGGAAAACGTTTATTCCTCTAACACCCTCATGTATTTATATTAGTGGTGGCTCCAGCAGGGCAGGTCTCTGCTCAGTGTTATGTCTGAATTTCACTTAGGTTTCAGTGGGAAAATTGCTGTTTCAGTTTTTTTTCTAACCAAAGTCGGTGCCTCACAGCTCTGCTCAGTCTTTCATTTCAAAATGTTTTGTTTTTGTACATTATGGTTCCTCATTAGAAAAATAAAAGTAGTCATACAGTATTAGTAACAGTTATTGTAGAAGAAAAAAGCAGTAAATTAATAAGGAGTTCAGCGAGTTAATAGAGAAGAAGTCATGTTTACAGAGTTGCAGTGATATCCAGTCAGCCATTGTTAAACAGAATACAACTCGCAGTAGGACATGGAATCTACCACAGCTAGAATGCAGAAATTATGATAACCATGCAAATAACATCAAACAGCTTCAGTCCCAGGAGGAGATGATTAGCCTCCATAACATACAGTCTGACAGCACAGCTGTGGCATTAATCACCACGTCCATTCAACAGGAAGCCCCAGGTTCTCTTAACCTTGATAAGGCACACGTTGTCCCAGGCTTGTGTAGGAGTGGGGGAGCGGAATGAATGCACCTGTCTCCAAAATTAAATATCTTCTGGTGCCCCTTCTTAGATCCTCTCCCCTCATCACCCTCTCTGTGATGTGTCTCTTTCTCCCTGTTTTGCTATGCTGCTTGAAACTCCATCATAGACTCAGCCACCCAGTGCAAGATACGTTCCGACTGTACTAGGATGGCAGGGGAGGACAAGGGGCTTAAACAAAAGATACATTTATAGCAGTTGGTTCAGGATTACTGAGGACAGACAATGAGCACATTCTTCGGTTCCTAAAACAAATAGCTGTGTGCAGCCTTCCCTGCTTAGGTGGGCAGAGGGCAGCAGGAGTGGGAGATATAGGTTTACATGGTCAAGCTTCAGCTTGGGGAAGGCCAAAGCCATTTGCTTCCAGAGGTAGCTTTGACTCATGTAGAGGCCAAAATAAAGCAACAAATGCAAAGATAGCCCCAAGGGAGAGGTATACCTCCAGTGTGGAGGTTTCTCTGGCAGATGTATTTATATTCCCTCTCACCCCTGGCCTCGAGGAACCAGTTGTAAAGAGACTCCTTAGGAGGCAGCTGCCTTGGACATGTCCTAACTCTCTGTGTGGTACACAGGGATCTGATGTTACTCGGGCCTGTATTTTAGAAAGACATCAAGGCTGTGTACCAACCTCTCCATGATCAATACACCAACGCTCCTTGATCTACAGACTATCAGCAGGGGCACCAGTGTGGTTCCAGTGAGCATGGTAGTCTAACTCAGTGTGAGAATACTGAGCTCCCCAGCCACCCTCTCCTATGTGAGAGACCCCTCTCTCATATGTAAACAGAGGAGAGGACTGGGCCAGGTCCCTGCCAGCCTGGGGAGAGATCCAAGCTGATTGTTATATATGATACCATGCCAAAGGCTGCTGCAGTGAAATCAGCTGTCATCATGGAATTCAGACCTGTTGATGAAGCCTTACTATTCACTCTTCTGTTTATACTATGCTGTTCTGGGGCTCTGCAGTCTTTCAACAGACAGTTAAAACTGTATTAAACCCTAAAACAGTTCCATCTCCAGAAACACTTCTCTGTGGGCTGCAGTGACTCATAATGTATTAGACAGATTGCACTGAAGCCTAACTGCATTAAACTATAAACCATAGCAAGGCTTGTGAAAACAGGACAATACAGTAATGTTAAAAACTTGAATCCGTGCGGAGAGAAACAATGCTGAAGCTGGATTTATAGTCGGCGCATGGAGTTAATGGGTGTCTCCCCCAAGATACCTACAGCATAGGTTTTGATTTATAGTTTGGTGCCAGATTTCCCATTTATATTACCACCGCAATTCTAGACGCATGTATTTTACATAACCAATCTATATCTTTGCTCACATTATTTCTTCTAGATCTACTTTGTGATGCTGAGCAAAAGTTGGGTACACACAGACTTATAGAACCGGAGTTAAGAAAATATAATTGAAGCTACACTGCAGCACAGTCACAGTTTACATTAAGTCTTTCATGTAGAGCAGTAGCTGCAGTAAACAGGTCACCATTGTAATGGGTTCCTAGATTATAACTAAAAAATGAGAATAATAGTGAGAATCTTTCTTCAGGTTTGTTAGTGTGACATTAAATATTGTGATCATGTCACTGACCACTGACTGTAAAAACAATGGACAGGCTGACAACTCACAGAAATGAAGCCACTGCGATGTAATCGGCCCCTGGTGGCTGGTTGCAGCATAGGTCATAAATCCCACCTCTTCCATGTTAGTGGAAAAAAAATTCAAAATACAAATCAAATAAATTTTTCCCCAGAGGTCACTTTTGTGATTTTTGGTAAGTCTTATCACACAGATATGTGTACAAGTGGTCATTTTTCTGGTATGGAAGAAATACATTCTGAAATGTTTTTTTAGTTGATTTGACAGCTTTGATTAGAGGTCCAATGCTGTTGCTCCACTTCTGGTCACTACTGTGCAGAATCTAGTTGCAAAATGGCAGCGGCCGTATTCATAGTATTTTGGCTTCATTTTTGCATAGTGGAGAAAAGAGGTGATGTCATGTCCATTGTATATATGTCATTGTCAGTGACACATTGTCCAACACACACATCATACTAAGAAAATTTTCACTTTGTCCTCCTGTATCTTTAATGGTTTGCATACATTTTTGTTTATCTTTTGCAGTGTGTTATCCTCTTTCTTTATTTGATTCCTAAACTGATTTATGGACATTTATGCACAGTGGGCATGAGGGCTGTGACGATACACTTAGTTCACGAGAGGAGATGATATTCTAACACAATTTTTAAGAAATCTTCAATGACAAAATATATGACTGGGAATAAATAGTGTTTTATTTGACTGAAAGCCACAAAATGCAAATACAGGTGCATTTTGAATGTCACTTCAGTTCTGCTTTCTGAGTATGAATTATCATATGCAGTAAAAGACAACAATATACAAGAACTGTAAAAGGTTTTGCCACAAACTCAACTGACTGGCTTCTCTTCTGTATGATTTCACATGAGTCTCTTCAGACATTATAACTGTGCATGAGCTATGCATGAGCTTCTTAGACCGAGTTTCAAAGGTGTGAAAAGACGCAGCCCTCTCCATTCATTTATATAGGGGATTGCGTTCACCCGCACCGCCGGGGGCTCCGGCAAAATTGATGCAACCCTGTGCAGTGAAAAAGTTGGATCTGGTTTAAAATTCACCACAACAGATGGTGACATCATCCAGCAAAGGCGCTGACCAATCAATTATGGGGGTGACCAGGACATAGATGCCCACGAGAAGAAGACCCTTTTGTTTACCTTGTTAGCATGAGCATTTGCTACTATTCATTGTCGAATCTGATCTACAATTAACAAACCATAACGACATGCAATGCATTGTAGCTGTTTTTTTTTTATCTGTCACTGCCGACTCACTGGTGGTAGAATTGGTGCTAAGGTAGAGTAGGCTACATTAGCAGCATGGCTAACCAAAACACAATGGAAATTCATGGGCGGGAAACATAAATGAAGCCAACCACATTGACCCGTTACAATGTGGCCATATTGTACACGCCTACAACACTCCTCCCGCAACCCCTCACCTCCTGAACAGTGCAGCCCCTTGCATTAATACACAGCAAGGAGTTACATTTTTGCTAGGCTACTATGAATGTATGTGGGTCTCACTCCATCATACTGGCCTGATTCTGTAATGTACCGACATCACAAGACAGCTTTTGCCTCAGTGAGAAATATTGTCACGTTTTAATATCACAAGATCTCGTGGCATGAGATCTCATCACACCGCTAGTGGACATCAAGCAGTATATGTGTGTTGAGGTTTGTGTTATAATGAGAAGTAGCTTTACTATGATAGTTGCCTCTATTAAATGTGTTTCTCAGCCTCTGTTGCATCTAATTTCATTTTAGATTTTTAGAACTAATGTTGTTTGTACTGATTATATATATCTTAGATGGACCCCGTCCAGAAGGCAGTGATCAACCACACATTTGGTGTCCCTCAGCCTCTCAAGAAAAAACAGATTATCTCCTGCAACATTTGCCACCTGCGCTTTAACTCAACGGTAAGACATGTTTTAGTGGCTTTGGTGTTTATGAGAAAAATGAGGGAAGTTGTGGGACAATAAGGGAGAAAAAAGCGATGGCATGCCAGACTGTGTAATTTACAACATAAAAGCAATTTATACCAAAAAGTGAGTCTAGCCTAAGAAAACAACATCTCTTTGTTTTGTGCTTCTTGAATGTTGGTTTCTGAAAAGTACCACAATTTCTACAATTACCTTAGGTCTTATCAGCCTCACTGACTCATGTGTGTTCGTGTGCATCTGTGCATGTGCATCAACAAAATTCTAGTCAGTATCATTAAAATATTTTGTCCATTGAACATAATTTTATTTGTTTTAAACCAAAAATTCAAGAAGTAAATTGAAAAAAAAAAGCTTAATGAATTAAATAATAATAAAGCTCCATATTTAAGCTACAACAAAAGTCAGTTCACCCATTGTTTGTGTGATTATATTAAAGTTATATTTATCCACTTTTATTTTTGATGACAGATTTGAGCATCCTGGGTATGGGTGATGCCAGTCTTGCACAAACCTGTGGAGAGATTCTTTTTTGGCTGATCTTTGTTGGAGTTCTTTTCTTGCTCTGCTTTCTGCTTTAAAATACTGGAGAGATGTTCTGTTGAAATCTGGGGTCATTTTCAGCCAGGCTATAGTTTGGGCCATTTTCTTCTTTAAAAACTTTAGTGTGATTTATGGAGTGTGACATCACTTTCATTGAGAAAAATTCATCCCCTGCCAAGCTTCACAAGACAGGGAGCCATCTTTTCAATAAATATCTTGGTAATAAAACTTGGTTCTCCCCTACACTTTTTGTGCTCACGCAGCCCCATATCAGCACACTTCCACTTCTGTGTTTCATGGTCAGCACTATGCAGTTACTATGGTAGCACTGGCCAAATACACTGAACCCTGTCTAATCCAGACAAATGCATTCTGCTTTAATTTGACCAAAGAGTGTGCTGCCGCCATTTATCAGGCATTTTTTAAACATCTATGACAAAGTTGAATTTTTAGTTTTTTGTCATTTGGGGAGCAATTTCTTTTTTTCTTTTTTTTTTTTTTTACTGGAAACCATCCATTCAGTGTCACTGAAACACCATTTTTGCACAGATGAACCTTATGCAAAGGCGCTTATCCATCTGTTTTCAGTGCACAATTGCATAAATAGCAAACAGTGTATCGCATCATTTTTCAAGGTGTGGTTCCAGTACTTCCTAACTACTAGTTCAGCTGTGTTTCAGCTGATTTTTAGTAATCTACTGAGGCTCTTATACCCTCTGCCATCTTTGTGAATTCTCACAACCTGGTTTCTTTGAGAAAGCCAGGGTTGTTTGATGGTTCTTTCATAGCCTTGTTCATACAATTGGCCTTTACTGGAAATCACTGGTGCAGTCATTTTGTTGCAATGATCACAGGTTTGTTGCACTTTTTTGCACTAGCACCAACTTTGTTGCATTGAAGTTGTACTTGAACACCTGTAAATTCAGAGTGGTCTATCTAACCTGTTTGTTGTTAATTATACATAAACTCCAATACCTCACACTTTAACTTAAGATGGTACGATGTTAAATTGTTTAATATTTAGTGACACTGCAAAGTGGTTTACTCAGTTTTATTGTATAAAAGCAAATGTGTGTATCTTTGTGTGTGTATGCAAAGCAAAAAACTGCAAATATATCCCTTTATGCAAATTATGTAGAGTTAGTCATTTAGTTTTATCCCAGTTATGCATATAAATGTTGTACTTTCAGTGAAATCTGTATGTGTGTGTGTCTGTCTGTCTTTTGTTTTGGTGTGAGGGATTAGTCAGCAGGGAAAGCTGCAGTTTATCAGCAAAGAGCAGAAACAATCAGCAGCCCCAGCAGGAAGCAGAATTCTCCACTCCTTGTTCCATTTGTCTCATCCCTGTCAACGCCACCACCACACATACATACTCTGCGCACATACTCTACACATGCACACTAGAGTGCACACACACTGACAAACATCCCATGATATTTCATGCATATTCACATAAACAAATAGATAATAATCCAGAAAGCCTTAAGACATTTCAGGTCTGGACACACAGCCAGGGGAGGATTGGGGGGGGACTCCATTTTCAAAGAAGGGCTAAGGCACAGGAGACAGGGAGCTGAGGGGGGAGAGGAGCTACAGACACACACTAGAGCAAATCCCATAGCTCCACAGACCGACTTAAAGAGGAGTGTTAGATCAGACTGTAGTTTTATCTGTCTCTCTGAGAGCATGAATCCTTTCCTAACACGTCAATGCATCCTCCTCAGAGTTTGCTCAGATATTATACCAAGTTATCCTTATGCATAATGCTCAAAGGGGGATAAGTAAGCTCCCTCTGCTTTTCAATATAACACAAATTGACCTTAAAGAACAGCTAACACCACATATTGAAATCTTGTTTTTAGTGACGACCAGTTTGAGTGTGTCCATGCACAGTAATGCCACTGTTGGATGTGGATACACAGCTTCTGACCACACATATGTATTATACACACACATCATGCACACTATTCCTTTAATGTCACATCAGAGGAGCACGAGAGCCCTCTGGGTGTTCCAGATGTCCTCTGGTCGTCAGCTGCTGCTTTGGTCGACCTACACACTAAAAGAAAGTGTTGTGTTACATCTTTATTATGCTAATGTGGGTTATCAGATATTTCTGTTGTGTATTTTATTTTGTTGTTTGTTTTAATTACTAGTTAATGAGATGAGAGATGATTTGTCAGTAGTATTGTTGAAGGCTAGAGGTGTCAGGTCCGCTCGGCGCGATCTGCCTTTCTTCCGCCTTTCTCTCCTCTGTTCTCTCGACCTGCGGGATTCGCACTTCAGCTGTGTTGCATTCGTAATTAGCGATTTGTTTGTCGGTGCACACAGCTGGGGTGCATCCTGCTGATTGACTCCCTCCTTATTTATACCTCTGGCAGACGCTCCGCCATCGCCGGAGCATTACCCAAAGTATGTGACTTATTCACCTAACTACTGTAACTCGCATACCCTGTAACAGACCTATTTTTCGTGGTATGTATGGTTCTCATTTTGATTTCCTGCACAGTTCCTGTGCTGTGGATCTCATTATGTACATTGGTTATGTGTGTTTTTTTGTGTGTGTGTGTGTGTGTTCGCCGTTCACGCTGACAGTCTCTGTGCTGTGGACCTCTTTGTTTGTTTTTGTCCGTGAGGTTAGCCAGACGTTACTTTTTATATCCAAGCTGACAGTTCCTGTGCTGTGGATATCCTTTTTGTTCGCCCGTCCTCGAGGTTAGCCTGTCTATTCCCCTGTCCGTCCTCATCCTCCTGCTCTCCTGATTCCTGCCGTCAGTTTGTCTGTTTACCTGTTCGTCCTGGTCTCCTCCACCATCTCTGCCCTGCTTTGCTGTTTTATGTACATGGACTGTGACACGTGTTTTGTTTTGTTACTCTGTCCTATGTTGTATTTTCCCCCATTAAACCACCTTTTTTGCACTAGCACCTGGGTCAGCATGCTTGAATCCTACCTCAGTTCTCCCTCACCCTCCTGGTGAGGGGGGGGCTAACCCTAACAAGAGGTTGTTTGAATGTCGTTTCAACTTCTACTGGTTATTAGAGCTCACAGAGTAGATTACTTAATAGTCCTTTAATATGTATAAAATTGTTTTAAAGAGAGCAATTAACCTCTAAAATGACTGCATAATCTAAAGTTTTTGGAACATGTCTCTGAAATAAATATTTCCGTATTAGTAGGTATAGCCTATGATGCAAATACAGGAGCACTGAAACAATGTAAAACAGTGAGGGCATTGACAGAACTGTCATTGTTTTTGTCTTTCCTTTTGTTCACCAAGTTTCACAGTCATAACATAATAGAACACAATTGGGCTGGATGTATTTATAGTACAGTGCATCAGAAAATATCAACATGGTAAAAAGCTTTTTGAAAACCATGCAATTCTGCTCATCAACCTCCACAATCAAAAGCGACAGTTCACTTAAAGTAAGCAAACCAACTGGCAGATCCACTTTTTATGTCTTTTAATTTTTGCTGCAAGCAAGTCATTATTGGAAAAGAGCATTCAGCATCATTTCTGAACCACAGGGAAAAACGCTCCACACCCACTAAACATATGTCTACACACCAGATATAATCTAATGTTTACTTTTAGCCTAGAGATTTCTTAATCAGTGGACAATCAAAGATCCCTTAGAAAAGCTCTGTGTCTCCCAGGAGTCCTGCTTGCTGGGTGGTGATGTGAAAACCGAAGCTCATTTCACACCTTGTCCTTCTGCCTCCAGTGGGACTCGGCTGAATGGGGAGACTGGTGGTGGAGAAGGCACTAGCTGAATTCATCACAACACGCAAATCTCTGAAGTGTTTCATGGCTGATCACTCACAGGATGCGCTGAAGTATCTGTGTTTTACAGATGCACTGACAGCCACATTATTTCTGGGGCTCAACTATATTACATGGTGTGTGTGTGTGTGTGTTCCTATAACCCTGTATCACTGCGCTAATACAGAACAAGCAGTAATCTTTTTTTTATTGCTTATGGGAGTAAATATATTGTTGAAGCTCAGGTAAGAGAAATCCACATTTCATTCCTAATAAAAAGGTCTTTTGGTATTTGCATGTCTCTTGGTCATTTCTGCATGTATTTATTTCTCACTTAGGAGTCTTTAAATGTGAAGTCCAGTCGTTTTATCCCAGTTGTTTTGGTGCCTGAGTATTCACATGATTTATTTCTCAAGGAAGTAAAACGAGAAGAGCTTGGAAGGAAGCACTGCAGGCTTAGAGGAACAACTACACCTACAATAATTTGCTCCGCATCAAAACATATGCCCTTTGGGAAATTGAACAAAACATTATTTTATACTTGATCCTTCTTCCTTAATCTATCAATCTCTTAAAGAACCCATGGCATGCTCATTTCCAGCCATTTAATGTTTAATCTTGGGTACCTCTAGATTAGCTTTGCTCCCATCATAAATTGAAATAATCTGTAGTTATTTCAGAACCATAAAACCAGAGAGCATCTTCCTAAAAGTGAGAGGATAGTTTGTGAACATGCACAGCTCCTGCTAATGGTGTTGTGTTGCAATTGGACAGCACAACAAACTGTAAGAGCATTAATTAATTTGAATTTCTCCTCCAAAGATAGGTTAACAGTATATGTACCTATGAAAAGAGATGTGTAACGCTAAACAAAGCGGGTAGTTGAGAAACACCATATTTTAGCTGGCATGCAGACGTAGTAACTTCTCCAGCCTTACAACAATTCTCTCTAACATTACAGAAACAAGGCATTAACAGACATGCAATGTGTGTTTTTTATAAACTTACTGTTAAGTCTCCCTAAGTATTGGAAACACTGCTCCATTTCAGGTAGCTCCAAGGTCAGTAAATCCACCTGGTGGTCGCTGTGTCTTCCCCCACGCAACCACATACAGTCCCAAAGTAGTCAGTGACGTGCGGTCAGGGGAGGCAGGTGAGGCAGAGTCTCCCCTGTCAATCTTGAAAAGAAAAAAAAGTTAACCATAAAATATAATAAATGTTAATATTTGTCGGCTGGTGTGTGTTGTAGGCCCTTTTGC